CCAATAATAGTCAAAACACAGCATTAATATGTTATTGATCAATAATAGTCAACACACAGTACTCGCAGGTAGCAAGTCCCACAACCCACCATTCCAGGTTGAGGGTTTTGAGGTTCAATGGCCAGACTGAGTTCTCTTATACAAAATCATGGATTTGAGTGATATTGGCAAACAAACTAATTCATAATTCAAAATGTTTAGAGAAAACATTTTCTTTTACACAAAAAGGTTACAAGAAAACACCCATGCCACTTCAAGCATCAACAGGAACAAAATATGTAGTCAATTATGGGTCAGGAAATCAAAAGCTCAGACAAAGGACACAAAACATGTGGCTGATTAGAAGCATAACTTTTAACTTCCAGGCAGAAATATGAAAAGAACCAATTCCAAAAACGAAAAGAATCATTCCAAGATAAAAGGAAAAACACAACAGAATAAAAGCAAACTCAACATAAGTGTGATCATGAAGGCACAAAACTGGCAGCACAATGCTAATGTTTGAACATACCTCCACCACCATTCATGATCTTCAGCAGCAAGTTGGAAATATGTCAGGGCCACAGTGATAAATGCAGTGACAATCAAGAGGATAATGAAGACTATGAACAAGATACTGTAAATGGTGTAAATCCTGTGACCCCAGACACTGGCAAAGATATAGTAAAGCTCAATATAAATGGCACTGAATGGCAAAAATCCAGCCATGGCCATCTGTGGCAGAGTCCCACGATACCAAGGTAGTGGTGGGATCTCTCTCGGATATTTTGTGGTGCGACAAGGAGCTTGAAACTCAGCCTTACTATTTTTCCCTGCTATTCCTCCCAATACTAATAAAGGTGATGTCACAAGAGCCCATATCAGGAAAATCACCACAATGGTACCGAAGGGAAGAGCAGCAGTAGCATGGTAAGCAATGGCGACAGTGTTAAGAAAGCAAAATGTGAGAAAAAGCGGACCACAGAACAGGCCTCCAGTCAATAATAAATTCCGGACCTGTTACGCAACCAAAGGAAAAAGTAGCTTCATTAAATAATAAGAAATAAAACAATAAGCAATTCCATTGAATGTGAAGTGAAAACAAATGTAGTAGTGGGCATCCATTGAATAACAACCAGCATGTCAATTCCAGATGATAAAAAAGAAACGGTGACGAATCCAATTTAGTTACCCAATTTGTTCCCTCTAACTGGCAATAGAAAGAAGCTGCTGTATAGCCTGCAATACCGGATGTGAGTGCATATATCACGACCAGTGCAGTAAAAAGAGCTCCTCGATTGTAGGGATAAAATACACCAACAAGAGCGAGCAGGAATATAAAAGTTGCCCTGGAAAAGAAAACATAGTCATAAATAAAACCAGCCATTAACTAATGAAATAACTATGACAAAACTTGCCCAAAATCTAGACAAGACCAATTAAACCTCCCAGACATACTTACAGTGTAAAGAGTTGTGTGCCACTTCCAAGGGCAGCAGCAAACAAAGACTTGTATTTTGGGAACCTGAAAACATCACCATGAATGTATTTCCATCCAGTTTCTTCTTGGTCGTCAGCTGTCTCCTCATCATGGGCATACCTTCACCATAACAAAAATAATATCAATAGCAAATTGTTTTAACTACTGATCAATAACAATATTTTAGCATCTCCTTAATATAATAGAAAGGAAGAAGTTCTTACTTGACGAAATCATTTTTAAGCACTCTCATCAAAATCGTAGCGAGAAAACCCGTAAGAAGAAGAACAGTCACACATGAATTGATTATTGAAAACCAATGGATCTCTAAGTGCCGAGGAAGTGAAGAAGAATGGGAGTATTTCTCCATCCTCTTCTCAAAAGGAACACTAGTTTCCTTCCATTTAGCTGAGTACATGAAGTCCACATCGACTTCCTTATCATCAGTAAGGTCCACAAGGGCACTAGGATCTGTACGTGCATTGATCTCAATAACACGATCCTTGTTATAAAATATTTCAAAATGGAGATGCTGAAATAGGTAATATTTGTATTCGCTAGGGTCAGCTTTTCCTTCCTTGTCAACCTTTCCCAGGAAACCCCATATAGGCAAGTCATCATAATACATTTGAAAATAATAGTCCTTTGCAACAGCTCTTCGAAACTCAGCAACTTCTTTCTGTGATAATTTCTTTTTACAGATGACTTCAGACTCTTTGTCAACCAAAAAGTCAAGCTTGTATGGAGCACTGACCAATCGATCACCATTTAGCACTTCACCAAGAGCTTCACTTTTGTCTTTCACATCAACTGACAGGAAAAAATGTTAATATTTACATATGTAATAGCCAAAAGAAAAAGAAAAAAGCAAACATTGGAAGATGAAATACCTGGTGAACAGAAGGGAAGATCAAAGTACCGGTATGTTTCACTGGGAAGCAGTAGAAATCACAGTGTAAATTGTATGGAACTTACTAAAATGATATAAGAAAAGGTAATCAAGTAGTAAAACCCACAAAATCAAGAAATACAACAGAGACGATATTTCAAAGAGTATCACAATGATCGCTCGGATTGTTTCTCTGACTTTCAAATCCAAATATATATGTAATGATCACCACGGGACAGAGACCACGAATCATCCAATGTCCATACTAATTCCTAGTTTTCGAGCACACAGAATTTTTCCAACTTCCACCTATCGCCAAAGGAGTTGCATGCGGCTGCTCAACATTTCCAGCAGAATATCCATATTTCAATAGATACCAGCTCATATGAATAAAATCAAATCAACAAAACACCTAATCTCCCTCGAAAACGTTCATCATGAAACAGCAACGAGGACCTTACCAAAGTCTCTCAACCCAACAACCCATTTCATCACAAGCAAACACAAATTCTAACGAACCCAGAGAATGCGACCAAATTCATGCCCCACAAAGATCACCCAAGCAGCATATCAACACAGAAACCAAGCATTTCGGATATTAACAAATCACACACACCTAACACATACAGACACCAGAAGCAAAAGAAAAGGAAGTTTTACCTAGGGTTGTGAAACGGCCCGACCTTGTTCGCATAAAGCGGAACCGGATCACCGACCTTGTATTTGTGATCCGACCCGTCCGACCTCACACGGACTGCGCAGCACACAAGCAGCAAAACGACGACTTGCCAGCCCCCTCCTCCCGCCATTTTTTCTCCGCACGACGCGCGCTCAACTGA